TTGTTCAGGTATTTTGTCCAAGTGTCAGAAAGTTACACCCCATAATATGAACCAAGCTGAGACTTTGGTGGCTTTTCTTTTCCCCCTCTGCCCTCCCAGAAGTCAGATAAAAGTGTAACATTGACTCCATGGGAGGTGGTGGGGAGGTTTCCATCCCAGATGGTGCTGGAAGTCTGGTATCCCCCATAGGACTGAGTATATCAGTTTTTAAAATTTATACAATATTAAAACTATAAGTAACTAGGAAATTTTTGGTTCCTGAAGATCATCCAGGAGAATTAAAGACTTCCTTAAACTTTTATCCTAGGACAAGAATGGCACTTTACAGAGAATAGTTAAATAGAGTGATGGGCAGAAGTACAGTTGGCTTCCTGAATATACTCCCCAAGTGCTGTTTGTTTAATGTATAATAAAACTATTATCTTATGTATACAGATCCTTGGTCCATGTACAGACAGGCAAGAGGCATCACTCACTGAGCAGTCATTACCATCCCCCTGTCACCATTGGAGAGTCCTATCTTCCTCAGTCAAGACAAAGTTGATGGCAGCAGACCAGTTATTTAACATCTCATTCTGCTAGCTGAAAGTTTAGGCATAGAAATTCTATAAAGCCAAGGAGTAGATGTCACCTTCTAAACACACCAGTTCATTGAAGGACACTGACTACCAGCCAGAAGGGAAACTGAGCAAGTCTCAAATTCACATAATGCTCCAGTGAGAATTGAGTTCAAATCTGGCTCCCTCATTTAGAGGTCATGTGACCCTGGGTGAACAATTTCACTTGCCTGTGCCTCTATTTCCTTTTCTATTAAACTGGGGTAATAAAGTATCCTCTTGACTAGGTTATTACCTAGAATAGATGAGGAAATAAATGTAAAACTCTTTACAGCAATATCTAACTAGGGCAGAGGATTCAGTAACACAGGCTTAGCATTGCACTGCATGACCTCTCAAAGTGAAGTCCTGTGATGTTCTCAGTTCACAGGCAGCATGAGGAGAACAGATTCTAAAACCAGACTTCTTAGGTATGAGTTATGCAAGAATGGGAAACACCACTGTATAAGTGTTTGGTGTTACTGCTATTAACACTGTGAGATAACAGAGTATTGTCTATATGTATACGGTACATACGGTAAAAGCTTGATAGTAACAACTGTTATTTAGAAATGCTTACTTGAATAAACCTACATGTCCCTGAAGATTCTGGTCACTCAAAGGTCTCAGAGGCATCAGCTGTTTATTTCCTTTCATACTGTTGGTAGGGGGCCTCAAGAACTGTCCAAGCTTCCATTCTTTCCAGACATTGTGACCTCCTGTTTACCACACGAGGCTTGGGAGGCTCTCTCCCACCCCCCTTTTGGAGCATATGTTTCAATTTATGAGAGAATGTTGCCATTGGGAAGAATCTTTTTCAACAGACTATGCATATACCCACATACCTTAAGTCATCACTAGATTGCTACCACTATCTAGTACAACATACAGGTTCTGTGACTATTATTCTGTGCTGTCTAGAAAGCAAGATAACAAGGACAAACGTCTGTGCATGCTCAGGACAGGTGAAATTTAAGTGATTTTTAAAAATATAATATTGGTTACATTCTCAGACGTGAAATCCATGGACATAGCAGACTGGCTCTGCTAGGAGGCTGTCAAACTTGACCACAGTTGCTTTTCCCTGTATGTGAGCCAGAGGTGTCTCTCAAGTAAATAGGGTGTCTCCAACCCAGAGTCCTATCTACTTTGGGCTACACACTCAGCCATTACCTGTAGTGGCCCTGACTTAGGCTTTCAGCGTCTCTCCAGGTTACCTATCTGGTTTCTTTTCCCAGGGTGGTTCCTACCTTGCACAGGAGAGATGAGGTATCCTGTCCAGCCAGTCTCCTGAGGTGGTGACATTTTGGCAATCCAGAACTCTCTGGGCCTCACTCACCACTCACTGACCCTGGAGACTGATGGAAAGGGAAATAGAATATGAAAAACTGCCCCCTGCTAGCAGGAAATCATTGTTTTGCCAATCTCAGAACTGATAAACAAGTGTAACACTGGAGAAAGGAGGATACAGTGCCATTCAAGGCTATTGTCACAGCCACTGCTCTGTGTATGAGAGAAACAAAGGGGGCTTGTGTACAAATACAAGGACAATGCTACTGTGTTACCAGCTGCTTCTATGTCACTCCTGGGGACAGCGGATGAAAAATGAGGCCATGGTATGCTCTGAACTTAACTAATCTTAGCAACCAGGCCATTTAGGACATGGACAAAACACAGACACATTCAGTCCAGTTTCTTAGTGGGAAACAGGGGACATTGCCCCAACAGTGATCTACTGCTTATAGATCATTTTTGAATACATGTTAAATCTCCAATGTCTCTCTCCTCTTCACTTTCCAGATTTCAAAGGCCCATGACGTCAAAGTCAAAAAGAACTGTAGTAATAATTTTATAATCTTCAATGATTAGTTTTCACAAACAAGCTCTATCCAATATTCTGACTTACAGTATTCTGTGGCTAACTTTACTTTGGCACCCCTAAATCTTTTGAAACTAGTCAGTGGGAGTTTTTAACCTAAGTAATTGTGATGGTTAGTCTTTAGATGTCAACATGCTGCAGCCAATAAACCATCTGAGAAGGGAGTCTCAATAGAAGAATTACCCCAGTTGGGATGGCCTGGGTTGGCCTGAGTGCATATCTCTGGGAGGTTGTCAACTGAGATGGGAAGACCCACTCTGAATGTGGGTAGCACCATTTCTAGGGCCGGGCATTGAAATGTGTAAGAGAGATGAAGGCTAGCTGAGAGTAAGCAGCATGCAAAGAGCATGGGTGTGTTTGTTTTTCTCTCAGCTCCTGACTGTGCATGTGGTGTGACCATGGTCTCAAGCTCCTGCTTCAGTGATGGACTGATACTTGGGACTGTAAGTCAAACCCTTTTTTCCCATATGTTGCTTTCTGTCAGTCTGATTGTCACAGCCACGGAGATGAATCCAGGAGATGTGAATTTACATTTTAATTGCATGTCCTAAGAAATAAATGAAATCTATCCTAGTTTGATAACTTACGGTGTATCTATCAATGAAAAAGCTGTGTCAAGATGCACTTTCCCTAGGAAATAAATCAATAAAACATAGAATTTAATCTACTCAAAGTAAACATGCAGTTTGGTGGACTTCAGTGCAGGACAGTCTACAACAAGCATGACGGACCTTATTCCCAAACAGCTGCTCAGCTTCCAAGTTGAGAAATTTTGGAAGCATTTTAATTGACATTTTATCATGTTGATATCTGGCACACTCCACAGAATCTCCAGCCAAGCTCTGAGCGTTTTTTACAATTCTCTCACAAATGGTTAGAAGTTTGGTTAGCAGCATCTGGAACACAGTGGCAGAGGAGACTGCTTTGACACTTGCAGCAGCTGAGGTGCTCACACACAGCAACGGCATGCATCAGGTGGTCCATACCCTTGGCACGTTCACCTTTCATTGGTAACTCTTTACCTAGTTGTGCTTATTCAAGGAAGAATTAACATCTTTAGAGTCAGGTAGTTGGGAAAGCCCATCTCCCTCCTTTGCTGGTTTCTGTTTCTTAGTTCTGGGAGCCTGTTCTTGAAATTAGAGTCACTCCCCATCTCTCAGTTGAAGTAGATGCAGTACCCAGCAAAAAGAGCTACACACATGCCAATGGAAGTGGCTGTTTTGGCCACCATCTTGCTCCACTGGGGTGTGGGCCTTCCTGAGTAGCTGGCAAGTGGTGGTTAGCACCTTGTGCTGGGAGCTCACAGCCTGCAGCCACTTTGAATCAGGATGTGGAATGGCTGCACTTAAATCTTACAATATTTCAAGGCGAGGAACCCTGGAATGACTCAGCTGAGTGCTTCTGCCTCCAATTTCTCAAGAGGTCTGCCTTGGTCACTGTTGTGTCACTATGACAAAAAAACTGTACAAGAATGGCTCAGAGGAGGAAGGTTCCTTTTGGCTCATGGTTTCAGAAGTTGTAGTCCAACATGGCAGAGCATGGTGGCAGTAATATACAGACAGGCAAGGTTCCGCACATGGTAGCAGGCAGGACACCAAGCAAATGAGCCAGAAGCAGAAGCAGCATAGCTCTCAAAGGCCTGCCAGTAGGGGCATTCACTAGCCAGGCCCAGGTTCCTAAAGGTTCTGCAACTTTCAAAACAGCCTCACAAGCTAGGAACCAGGTGTTAAAGCTCAAGCCTGTGGGGCAGATTTTAGAGTCAACCCGTAACAAGGTTGCAGTTAAGCTGCTGACCCGGCTACTGCTACCTTCAGAGTCTCTAGAGGCTGGAGGCTCTGCCTCCAAGGAAGGAGGTGTTCGCCGGCCTCAGTTTCTTGCTGCATGAGCCTCAACATTGAGTTCCCAGAACAAGAGACTCAAGGGAAAGAAGACTACAGGGAGAGCATGTCGGAGACGAGCATTGCTGAGATAGGTAATACTTTCATATGCCTTCCGGCTTTCTAAACCCCTTTTCTAATCACCTACTCTTCCCACCAGCGCTCTCCTGGGACCATAGGAAAGTTACTTAGAATCCTAATTGATGTGGCTTCATTGTCTGGATAAGGCTAATTTTAATGCCAAGCCCCTACTTCTCCGTAAACAGAAAAGAAACTAAGAGCACTGCGTTGTTTTTTCCCTCCCAGGGTATACTGCAGGCGTGCATGTGTGCATGTATGTGTGTGAATTACAAAAATTCAAATAGGCACAGCTTCGTTTAAGTCCAGATGGCCAGTATAGACAGATCGCTTCTGGGCGTCTGTGTTGCCAAGGTGCCTGCCAAGCCTGCAGATGTAATCTCCAAATCAGTCGGCCGACCCAAAAGGGCAAAGGCAAAACGAGTTTCCCTGACAGTTGCTCTCTGGAAAATATCCCATACCCGAGTTCTCCCAGCATCTCCGCCCTCTGACGCTTGAGTTTAGCCATCCAGGAGTGAGACTTCCTGGGCTTCTGCACACCCTAGTACTCTTAACGCCATTGTCGCCTGCCACAGCGAAGAACTACAACTCCCGGCATGTCCCGCTGGGTGTCATGTGGCATGTCCGGCTTGCTCCCGTTGTCACGTGACACCGGAAAGATGGCGGCCTTGACAGCGGAGAATTTTGAGGCGCTCCAGAGCCTGCTGAAGGTATCTTGCAGGGTGGGGACGTCTACGGCGGCTACCTTATCTCTGGGACTTTGTGGAAATCAAGAATTAGGAATAAACCTGCCCTGACTTGGAGCATTGCTCCCGCCAGTACTTGTCTGTGTGACCCTGAGAAAATCGCTCAGCCTTTCTGAGCTTTTAAACAGGAGCAACAAAATTAATCACTCCCTGATTTTTGAAGGTGGAAGTGTAAAAAGTAGTCAATGGATGTGAATGCACCCAAGAATTAGTGACTATGAGTGGTTTTCCCGCCTGGAAAAACCAGGTCCCTCCGCTCACTCATCAGAGAAATTCCCTCCCTTTCATCAGCCCAGCCCTTGGTTGTGTGTGTGAATTCTACCCACTGAGGTTCAGTTCTGTACTGCTTTGGCCTGTGTAGGGCCGGGGCGCTTTCCTGACCTTCTTTGGTAAGGTTGTGAGGTTGAAAGGGACAGTCTGGGGACATTATAAAATTGAATTACTCTGTAGAAGGGTGCCTTTGCCTTCCATCTTAGAACTTACCACTAGCTGACTCTGGATCTCTTCTGAGGAACATGACTTCAGTTTCTTCTTTTTTTCCCCCCTTTCTTCTCTTTTCTCTAGTTGAAGATCAGTAATGATGCTTGCCACACTGTCATTATCAGCCTTAATTACCTCTTCATACACCTCCCCAGTAAGCATTTGCCCGGTCCATGTCTGAAGGCTTTGACTTTGTTGTTCACAAGTGTATCACAACAAGCAGAATAACACCTGGCACCCAGTATTATTAAGTGCATTAGTGTAACACAACTGTGACTAGAAACTTAAGAGTTCTTGTGCCCAGCCTTTAACGTTCATTGTGTTTGATTTGAGTCAGTCCTCTCCATGCCTACTTATCTTGGGACATCTTATTTTCCTTGATAAACTTTTAAAAATAATATATGACATATATACTGAAAATGCAGAAACCATGAGGCTTCACTTACTGACTACACACTCATATAGCTGAGACACCAGTACCCCTGGAAGTCCCTCACTGCTCCTTACTTCCTTCTTCCGCTCGCCTTCCCAGTAGCGGATTGCTTCTGACACAATTTATTATTGCTCATATTTGAACTTCATAAAAATGGAACACTTCAGCATATTCATTTTCACATCTGGCTGTCAGGCATGGTTGTGTAGTAGTAGCTCATTTGTTTTCATTGCTTTTTCTGTTTTTTTTAATTAAACTTTTTTATAAGTTAACTATAAAGTTGCATGTTGTTGTAAGAAATAATGTAGAGAGATGCCATTTACATTTTGTCAGGTGTCTCCTAATGGAGACTTTCTAAGAATCTGCAGAGCAGTGTCACAGTTGGGGTATTTACATTGATACAGTCAGACGACAAGGCATTTCTATCAGTGTAAGAGCCCTGTGTTGGTGTCTTTCAGCCTTGCTCACTTGCAGTTAGCCTTCAGACCTCCTTTACATGTCTGCGTTCTTCTGTCATTGTTTTTCATTTCAAGAACTTTATAAGTCTTCCTGTAGGATGATGTTTGTGGATTGGCTTTCCTCACTCAACCCAATTCTCTAGAGCAGCAGTTCTCAACCTGTGGGTCACGACCACTTTGGGGGTCACATATCAGATATCCTGCATATCATTCATTTACATTACAAGTTATAACAGTAGCAAAATTACAGGTATGAAGTAGCAATGAGATAATTTTAAGGTTGAGGGTTACTGTAACATGAGAAACTGTATTAAAGGGTCACAACATTAGGAAGGTTGAGAACCACTGCTCTAGAGAATCATCACCAATCGTGTGTCAACAATTGCTTCCTTTTTTATTGGTTAGGAGTATTCTGTAGTGCATTCTGTTTGTTGGCTCATTGGTCTACTGAAAAACATGTAGAGCATTTCCAGTCTTCACTGTTACAGATGAAGTTGCTAGGTCATCTGGAAGTTTCATGGTTTGAAGACATCTCCAAACTTTTCCTGAGTGCCTGCACTACATTACACTTGCATCTATACCAGCATCAGCATTTGGGGCTGTCTCTATATCCTATCTGAATCATTCTGATGAATGTGTCTTGGATCTCAGTGTGTGTGTGTGTGTGTGTGTGTGTGTGTGTGTGTGTGTGTGTGTTGGGGGTTGTACATATGTGTTTTATGTGTGGTTGTGGGTGTGTACGTGTGGTGGTCAGAGGACAATGTTGGGTGTCTTCAGGGTTGTTGGTGACAGGCTCTTTCTCATCATTCACTGCAGCGTACACCAGCCTCATTGCCCACGAGCTTCTGGGAATTCTTCTCCCTCTCATTTTCCCACAGGAGCCCTGGGATTGCAGACATGTGTCCTACTTCAGCTTTTGTGTGTGTTCTGGGGGTCCAAATTCAGGTCATCAGGCTCATGCAGCGCCTGCTTTACCCACTAAGCTATCTCCCCAGCCCCATATCTGTCTTTTATATTTAAGTCTGTGATCCATACTGAGCCAGTTTTGCATAAAGTGTTGAGTGCTTTTTTAATGTCATATTGTTTCAGTACCTTTTGTTAAAAAGAAAAATTTCCCTACACCGAATTACTTTTGCAATTCAAGAATCCCTTGGGAATATCTGTGCTGGGTTGTTTCACATGGATCTGTTGCCTTGATCTATGTGCTCAGCCCTCTGAATATGCCCAGGTTTGGTTGCTCTAACTGTAGGAAATCTTGAAATCTGACTGATTCTTCCTACTTTATTCTTCTTTCTCAAAATTGCTTTGACTAGTTCAGTCAGTCAGTAATGTGTTCTGCAAGCATGAGGATGTGAATGTGATAATTGGAACCCCACATGCAAAAGCCGATGTGATGGTGTGCACTTGTCATCCCAGTGCTGGGGAGACACAGACAGCTGGATTGCTGGGGCAAGCTGGGCAGCCTTGGCTATTTGGCTGGTCCAGACCAAGGATAGAACTGTTTGAAGAAGCAAGGTGGATGGCACCTGAGGAACCACGGTGAGATTGTCTTCTGCCTCTACATTCATGCACACACATGCACATGATTTTCTGAACACATTCACATGCTTGCACATGTTGCTGCTCTAACTCCATTGCCTTTCAGTATTCATTTGTAAATGTTGTTGGCCATATCTAAAACAAATTTGCTTGGATTTGGATAGGAATTGTTTTTAACCTATGTGCCAATTAGGGGGAAGTTGCCCTCTTTAGGATGTTGAATCTGCCAGTGCATAAACTTGATGTGTCTCCATATTTATTTCATCTTCCCCAAGCTTTTTTGTCTGCAATGTGTAGTTGTAGCACAGAAGTCCTAGAATTCATTCTTTGACCAATTGCAGAGGACACGTTTTAAATTACATACATGCCATTTGCCTTGACCTCCCTCAGTGATAAGGCATGACCTGAGAGTTGAAGATGAAATAAACCCTTTCTCCCAAGTTGTTTTTGGCCAACATTTTATCACAGCAATGGAAAGCAAACTAAGACAATCTTCCCAGAGTACTGGGTTACAAAGTAGAATGAGAAGCAGATAACACTCTCTAGGAAGAAAAGGAGGTGAGGCTGGTTGAAAAGAGGGGAGCAGATTTCTGGGGGGGGGGGGAAGAAGGGGAAGAAGAGCGAGGGGAAAGGAGGAAGAGAGAGAAGTGGGGAGATGAGGAGCCAGAACATGTTAGAATGCTCTTCTCAGAATGGTAGATGGGAGAAGATTCCCAACAGTCCTGCAAAAATGTTGATGTACTAGTTAATAGTTAAGGCCAAAGCCGGGGCATGGAAGCAGTCGTACAATCCTTGCTCATCATCACAGTAACCTTTGCTTTGTATTTTGAAAGTAGTGTTTTCTCTGAGAGACATCTGTCCATTACTGAGACAGACAGCTCCCGAGTTAAGATGGTTCAACATTTGATTGTTTGACCTTAAAACAGTGTGAAAGTAATAACATTGGGTCAAATCATGCTTTGGATTTTGATCATCTCCTGGCTTGCAGCATCTAGGGGAGATACTTGAACTGTCAAGCGGCATAAACAACCAACACTATCCAATATGCCATCACCAAAGTACAGCATTCCATAGGTTAGGTGTGATTGAACTCACAAAGGCATTAAAAAAAGGATTTATTAGGAGGTGCAATTAAAAAGACAAACTCACAGATTTATATTCCTGGAATAAATCCCATCTAGACATAGTGTGTAATCCCTCTTATATATATTTATATATTGCTGATTTGTATCTGTTAATATTTTGCTAAGAATTTGTGCTGGTGAGATGGCACTCGGGAGGCAGAGGCAGGAGGATCTCTGTGAGTTCGAGGCCAGCCTGGTCTCCAGAGCAAGTGCCAGGATAGGCTCCAAAGCTACACAGAGAAACCCTGTCTCAAAAAAAGGGGGGGGACGCAGATCTGTAATTTTCTTTATTCTTTTCTTTCTTTTTCTTTTCTCTTTTTTTGAACTGTCTATCTGCTTTGGATATTAAGGTAATTTTTATCAATAAAATGCATTGGAAATTGTCCCCTCCTCCTCTGTTTTCTAAAAGAAATTTATAGAATTGATATTTTTAATCTTAAAATGTTTGTTAGAATTCTCTAGTGAAAATGTCTAAGTCTAGAGATTTCTTTTCTGAGTTAACACTGTGGATTCAATTTCCTGAGAAGTGACAGCTAGTGCATATCTGTTTCATATGAGGGGCGTTGTGATGGGGTTTTTGAGTAATTGGTCCATTTGTGGAAGCTGTCAGGTTTGTGTATAGGCTTCCTTTATCCTTTCAATGTCTGGCTTGTCATTCTTGCCAGCTCTTTGTTTCACCTACTTCCCCTGTCCTCTTACTGGGGGGAGTGTTCCATAGATGTCAATTAAAGTGATGGATGATGTTGCTTAATTCTTCTGTGTCCTGTTTCATATCTGGCTGGCTCTATCAATTGCTGAAGGAGGGGTGTTGCTGTGCCCATTGCATTTGGGAAGTCACCTGTTTCTCCTTATGTATCTCTCAGTTATTGCTTTGCAGTTTGCAGTCCTCTTGCCTGTTGTGTACACATTTTGGATGTCTTCTTAGTGCACAAAATCTTGCAGCATTTTATAATACTGTCCTGATAGTTTTCTTTTTGTAAAGTATGATTTACCTGTTGTCAATGTGTCCATTCTTGCATTCTGTTGATTGATGTTTGAATGGCATTCCTTAGTCATCCATCCACTTTTAGCCTGCTCATATACTTGAAGAGAAGTCCTTGTATATAGCATTTAATATGTTTCATCCACTCTGCCCATTTTTCTATTTCAATTAGAATATTTAGGTCACTTAGAGTTAATAGAAATATTGACATGCTAGGACTTTGTTTTTCTGCTCATTGTTTAATTTTTCTTTCTTGCATTTCTCCACTTTCCCTTGGGTTATTTGAACATTTTTAAAGGAATTCTATTTTAGGGGCTAGGAAGATGGCTAAATGGGTAAGAGTGCAAGCATGTGAACCAGAATTTGAATGCCCAGCACTCACTTAAAAACTATACATGACCATATAGCTACTTGTAATGCCAGCATTGGAAAAATCAGAGACAAGAGTATCTCTGGGGTAATCAGACCGCTGGCCTCACTCCAAGTTCAGTGAGAGACCTTGTCTCAAGGGAATAGGAGGAGAGCGATGAAGCAAGACACTGGACAGCCCCTTCTGGTTCTCTCTCTCTCTCTCTCTCTCTCTCTCTCTCTCTCTCACACACACACACACACACACACACACAGAATTCTATATATCTAAACTGCACTTTTTAATAGAGCATTTCTAGTCACATTGTGTGTATATAGTTGATCACAGTCTGTTGGTGTCATCATTTTATCAGCTAGGATGAAGTCCAGTTATTACACATTTACATTAAATATTTCTTCTGCGGATGGTGCCAGGATCAGCTTGTAAAGCTCACATACCACTCTGATGTTTCTGCATATCTCTAGGATGCAGGGAAAGAGGCCAAGGTTACTGAGGGGTTGTGTGGCAACAATGACCCAAGATAGTTTCAGTCAGGTCACAGTGGCTCCCCACACTCCTGCCATTCCTTCTGTGTTGACGAATTTGCCATAGCCAGCCTTCATGGCAGATCTTCTAACAGATTGTCTTGGTTTTTTGGTGCTTTGTTTTTTGTTTGTTTGTTGGTTTGTTTGTTTGTTTTTTTTGTTTTTTTTTCATTCCTGAAGGACGTTTTTCTAGCTGAGGGTTCTAGATTGACAGTTCATTCTACATCTGAGAAATATTCTCTCTTGTCTCTGTCAGTCCTGACATGAAAGCTGTTGCCATCCTGAGTGTTTATCACACTGTGAACAATTTTGCGTGTATGTTCTTTTTTTTAAGTTTAATTTTCTGGTGTGTCTTGGTGTGAAGTTTTTAAATTATGCTCTTTAGGGCTTACTTGGGTTCTTGAGATATTTACCATTAAGTCTGATTAAACTTGGAAAGTTTAATATGTTCTCTCATTTCCTAAGTATTGCATATCTATATCTATATCATCTATCTATCTATCTATCTATCTATCCATCCATCCATCCTTCTGTTCAGGCTGGGTAATTTCATATAAGGCGCTATCTCCCATCTACCGATTCTTTGTTGTCTCTTCCATGTTGCTGTGCTGCGTTTGTCCTCTCAATGTTTGGATTGTGTCTCCTGTGTTTTTCGATTTGTTTACATTTTATTATTATTGTCTTCTTTTTGTCAGTCTTTTTATTTGTTTCAGGCATGTTTTTAATTATTGGGATATTGTAATCATCCTGCTTCAAAATCTTAGTCAGATAATTTTAATGTTGTCTCTTGAGATGGTCCCATTATGTAGCCCCAGTTGACCTGCAACTTGCAATCTTATTATCTCAGCCTCCTATGGCATCTGTTTACTCCCCCTTTTCATTCATCTTGAAACCTTCCTGGTTTCTGGTCACTCGGGTGATTTTTTTATTAGAACATGGACGTGTTCCTGTTATGTTCTGAGACTGCTAGTATTTAAATCTTGTTTTAGCTGTCTTTCCCCAACACTGCTAAGACAGAGAGAAAGGGGTGTCTTTTGTCAACTTGACACAAGCGAAAACCTGATAGAGTCATCTAGAAAGAGGGAATTCCAATTGAGAAAATGCCTCTATCAGACTGGCCTATAGGAAAGACTATGGGGCATTTTTTTTTATTATTAATGCTTAATGTGGGAGAGCCCAGCCCATTGAGAGTGGTGCCAGCCCTGGGCAGGTAGTCTTGAGAAAGTAAGCTGAGCAGGCCATGAGGAACAAGCTGATAAGCGTTGTTCCTCCTTGGCTTTTGCTTCAATTTATTCCTCCAGGTTCCTGCCTTGTCTTTCCCCTGATTGTGAACTTGTAACTTGTAAGCCAAATTAACCCTTTCCTCCCCAAGTTGGTTTTGGTTAGTATCATCACAGCAAGAGAAACCATGACATTAATCCTATGTGGAGATGGAAGTCCCCACAGGGTTTTGTGGCTTATTATAGGCCAGTGGGAGTGAAGATCCCAGCTCCCTTTTCTTCCCTGGATACTACCTGTATTAGGGTTCTCTAGAGTCACAGAACATATAGAATGAATCTATCTCTCCCTCTCGCTCTCGCTCTCTCTCTCTCTCTCTCTCTCTCTCTCTCTGTGTGTGTGTGTGTGTGTGTGTGTGTGTGTGTGTGTGTGTAATTTATTGGAATGGCTTACAAGCTGCAGTCCAGCAATGGCTGGCTGTGAATGGCAAGTCCAAATATCAAGTAGTTGCTCAGTTCCACAAGGCTAGTGTCTCAGCTGGTCTCCTGTATATGCTGGAATCCTAAAGAAATAGCCTCCAGTGAGGGAATGGACAGCTGACAAGGTGAGGGCAAGAGGGTAAAGAATGAACAACCCCTTCCTTCTTCCATTGTCCTTACATAGGCTTCCAGAAGAAGGTGTGGCCCAGATTAAAGGTGTGCCTTCCTGTCTCAAGGTCTGGATTAAAGGCATGTGTCATCCTGCCTCAAGATCTGGATCACAAGTGATCACAACTGTATAGATCATAGATATAATCCACTTATGGATTCCAGTTCATTCCAGATACAGTCAAGTTGACAACCAAGAATAGCCATCACAATTTACCCCAACAGATGTTGGGATTCCTTGCTGTAGCCTCACGGGGTTTACTGCTCAGGACAAGGCTTCCTCTCAGCCGTTGTCAGCCCTGGTGATATGTGTCCACAGTTCTTTATGTGACCGTTGCTGGGGTCTGAAGTAGAGCATTTACTGTCTAAATGTTTTCTGTCTTAGAAGGCTGCACCTGAGGGCAAGGGATCAGTGAGGCAAAGGAAAACCAAAAACTTGAGCACTGTGTCGTTCCCTGAGCCTCCTCCTAGCAGGTCTGCCTTCTACTCCATTCAGAGTTGTTTATTTTCCCTGAGTGCCCAGGGATCTTAGTCCTGAGCAGGAAGAAGGGAAGGTGCATCCATTGTGTCTCCCCAGAGACAGAAGTGTCCTATGAACCTTTAGTGTTAAGACACTCTCAGAGGAATCATGAAATAACCAACACAAATGTTTACAGAGTCAAACTTCATGTGCTGTCCATCTGCTAATTAACTCCTAGGCCTCCTCGAAAGATGTCGTCAGACAACTGTGCCAAGAAAGCTTTTCCAGTTCAGCCCTTGACTCAAAGAAACTCCTGGATGTTACATGTTCCAGCTTGTCTGTGACCCAGGAGGAGGCAGAGCAAGTAAGTGTGGTGACAAGTGGCTGTCGCCTGCCAGTCCTTATCGCTTGTTAGCCTCCTTTTGACTTCCCAGTCAGTTGGATGTCCAAAGACATTTTCTCCTTGACACATCTGTTGACACTGTAGCGGGCCTCAGATAGTTTTTAAAAAATAGTCATGAACTCAAAGATTTTGTCTTTGAGCCTTTCCTTATGACACATAAGCCCCCTTATGATAAATAACAAGAGTTCCCAGCCACTCTCATTTTAGGCTTCTTACCTAGGCAGTGTGGATAAAAAAACAAACAAACAAACAAAAAAACTGACCTTTAGTGATTTTCGTGCCCAGCATGTGACTTGCAGGTGCTGATAAACTGTCAGCTGGGCACCCGATGACAGACCTTGTAGAGATCTTTGAGCTGAGGCACTGAGGCCTGAGTGGCATTAGAGAGTACCCACTGCCGGACTCAATCAGGCTCCCCCAGGGATGCTGTGTTCTCCATACCCCCTTTTCATCCCTCTACCTCTGTGATGTCTTCTGCTCAGCTCATATGATTTTCTTCAGGCAGCTCAGAGGAAGCCAGAGTGACTCATGCTAAGTTATACAGCAGTGACAGTGTTGTCCATCCAGGGAAGATATGCTTGACAGGAGTGTCTTCATCCAAAGGGCCCTATTATTGTCATTTTCCTTTAATCTGGAGCTGTATTCATGGAAAACAATTATAGGAAATTAAGAGGCAGAATTATGATTGTAGACTTAGTTTGGATGCCCTTAAAATAAATGCTGAAGCAAAGACTCGGGTACAGCTGAGTGATTCTAGGAAAACAGAGGAAGGAGTGGGGGAAAAGACAGAACGGAGACAAGCCCATTACAAAGCTTCGGCTTTAGCTCCCACCCTCACTGCTGGAAGCTTCGCTTCTCTTTGCTTCTGGGTTATGTCCGTTTATAGTCAGACAGCCTCTGTGGTGTCAGATAAAGCTGCAAAGCAGGGAAACAGTCACCTGCAGAGAGCTAAACATCATTATAGTCGTGTGAGCTCTATGCTACGTTTGGCTGCAGATCTGCAAGGACATAGGATGGTTTGCTGGGACTATAGGTCAATGATAGAGTTCTGACCCGCTGTGCAGAAGCCCTGGGTTTGCTCGGCAGTGCCTACAAGGATATGAGGACATAGCAAGGCAGGGTCCAAGACCCCTCTTTCACAGAGGGAATCACACCGTTGGCCAGGAACTGTTTTTCTTTGATCTTCCAGGTGACAACTTAAGGGTAAGGACATGAGATGCCTTCCACTCCACAGGAACCATTATCTTCTCTAACAACTCAGCAAGCACAGGTTCAGATTCTTGCAAGGAAGGTCCAGCCTTACTCATGGAAGGATGGCCTAGTATTTACAAAGTCCTCTTAGTCCAGAAGCATTGGGCCAATACAGGGTTGCCTAGTAACTCAGCGGGCTTTGCACTTCTCTCAGGTTGCCAGGGAAACAGCATCACAAAGTTAAGTGAAGGTCAGATTCTTCCACAGAAGGCAAAAAAGATATAGTATCTCTTTGCCCACAACTAACAAGTTTCTGACAAGCCGATGGCTTCCTAGGTCAGGTAGCTGCTTCTGTCTTCTAAAAGGACCAGTGAACTAGCAAAGTCAGCTTGAGTGTCAGCATCTGCTGCGGAGACCCCACACTTGAGTTAGCTCATTCATTGACTGGTGGTGTGTCCATGGGTGAGTGTACAGAGATCCACCCCTGCCCCTCTCTGTGTACCCTCCTGCCCCTGCCCTTCAGCTACAAGGCTGCCCTCTGTGTCCTACAGCTGCTCCAGGCTCTGCACCGCTTCACTAGGTTGGTGGCATTCCGTGATCTGTCCTCTGCCGAATCAATTCTGGCTCTCTTTCCGGAAAATTTCCACCAAAACCTCAAAAACCTGTTGACAAAAATCATCCTGGAGCACATGTAAGTGTGTGTTTTTGAGAGTTCCTTCTAACTTTCATATTCCTTGTATTACTCATATTCTTGTTACTACCATTAGTATATTATATATACAACCATATATACAAAGCCTGGGAATAACATAGATTTGTGGTTCAGTGTGCATACACATAAATGATGGAAGAAAATAAGATGCTTGTAACCCCACACCCAGAGGTTAGCTGCATCCATTTTTTAATGGAAAGCCATTTATTTGTTTACTTATTTTTGTTGTTTGAGGAAGGGTCTCCTGTAGCTTAGGCTGGCCTTGAACTCCCTTTGTGGCCTAGGATAACTTTGAACTTGTGTTCCTTCTACATCCACCTCCCAAGTGGATGTAGGTGTGTGCTGCCACTGCTAGCTTGAAGGTGAGAACCCGGTTGCTGTTTCTTTTTCCATGTATATGGAAAAGCCAATCTTTTGGGTTTGCTTTTGACAAACAGGACCTTGCCATTTTATAGCTTCTTATTTTCAGCAAGCAGCATTAATATTGATGACACTTGTATAAATGCTCACCCATAGGGTGGATTTTAATAGCTTAATGTAAAATATGTTCTAGTATGTGGAGGAATTTGGTATAATTTTTAAAAATTCTTTAAGGTTAGCCATTTAAGGTATTGGCAGTTTCTCCCAAAGATAATTTGTAGTAGAAACTTTGTTATATATTCAGTTATTCACTTACTGGCTTAAAGGCCATGCACATAGCGGGACATACTGGGCTTTGCGTTATATTGTCAAGTTGGCTACCAAAATGTTGTTCCACCCCTCCCCTCCCTTGGTTTTTGAGACTAGGTCTCCCTGTGTAGCCCAGGTTAGCCTTGAATGTGGAGTATGTTGTCTCTGCTGCTGTGATTAAAGGCATGCATCACAAAGCCTGGCCTCACAGTGCTGAAATGATCTTTCTTTACTTTTCTGTCCCCAGTTCTATAAATGGGAAATGATTCCCCATTTTAGCTTTTAAGTTTTTGAAATTAGAGATGTTGATTATTGATTGTCTTTTTCCTGTATTGGTCATTTTAAACTTCTTTTATGAATTGTCTGTTTTCTAAGCTGGGAAGATGCTTTTCAACATGAATCTTGGAAGTGATTGTTGTTGGTCTGGAAGCTCTAAGGGGTCTGGAAGCTCTACGGGATCTAATTGGAAGTGGCTGTTTACCAAGGGCTTGAATTTCTTTGGAGGGGTGTGAGGTGTGCCATGGTGACACAGAGGTCAGAGGGTGGCTTGCAGGACTTAGTCCTTTCTTTGGAGCATATGGGTCCCACAGATTGGACTCAGGTCCTCTGTTAGGGCTGCAATTTTGTGTTTTGTTTTTCCTGACCAGTGAAAACTATGAGAACTTGGGCCTTGCCCTCACTGACCTTTGCAACACCATGAAAAACTGCCTTTGATAGGAGGGGTTTCTAAAGCCCTTTCTTGGTGAGAGGCCACAAGCTGGGGTCCCTCCTTATCAGAAAGCTTATTCTCATTGCTTTCCCATTGTTTCTGCCTCATCTTTTCCTTTAAACAGATCTACTTGGAGAACTGAAGCCCAAGCAAACCAGAGTGAGTACAGAGTCCCCTGCCTTTCCCTACCCTTGCCCGTGCTCCTCAATGCCAGCTCTGAGTCCCCCAACCAGGAGCTTAACAAAAACCAAAGAGAACTGTGCTAGCTCCAAACTGCACTCTGTGTTGTGCCTTTTAAATTTTACTCTTCGATTCTGCTGCTGCTGCTGCTGCTGATGATGATGATGATAGAAGCAAGTTGCTAAAAAATGCAGAATACCTAAGCAGAAAGTGAAGTACTTAAAGCATGTGTCAGTTAAGACAAAACAAAGAGGGGAGTAAGCAGCCTAATGGGAAGGAGAGGAAGAGAAAGAAGGAAGTGGATACAGGGTGAGATGTGATCACTATATATACATATGACAGTGGCCTTATGTAACACAGTACCATGTGCAATGAATATGAACAATGAGAATTGTGTATGTGTGTGTGTGATTTGCAAAAGGGAAAGACTAGTCATTGAAATTACGCCTAAAGATTGTGTATGAGTGTGCTGCTGAGTGACTGTCCTCGAACTTTCATTAAGTCAGTCACACTGCTGCAGCTGTGTCTGCACTGACTCATCTAGCTCTCCTAGTCACCCTGCAGTCTGGCTTCTAGATGAGGGGGTTAGGCAACTGTGGGGCTTGATTCAAACCAAGGCCATTTCATCTATAAAACAGTCTCTAGCACAGTTGCTGAAGCTACCCTTTCTCTACAACTCAGAGCATGGCTGTATGTCTGCCTTGTGTCACTTGTCATTGTCTCTCAACATTTGGAGTGTGGCTGTTTGGAGATGCACCCACTAGGAGTCAGTGCTAAGGACAGGAGGCACCAAGCAATGTGTAAGGCACACAACATGTAGGTCTTAAGCCCTCCCTGCATCTTCCTGAGACTTGTGTAGATGAAACATATTGTATGTATGTACGTTCCTTACAGCCACATGTCACTGAACGAAATCTCAGGAGAAACAGGTAGTATAACCTCTGACCAAAGCTGTCCCCTCCACAGTCTCTCTGCCACGCCTGGTGGACCTGGACTGGAGAGTGGATATCAAAACCTCCTCAGACAGCATCAGCCGCATGGCCGTCCCCACCTGCCTGCTCCAGATGAAGGTATGCCCACTGTCAAGCTCCCCAGAAGCAAAGAGGGAATGACAGCGAGTTGGCTCTCCCCCAGCCACAACCATCTAAAACACTAGCAGTCAGAGTAAAAAATAAATAAAATAACCCCCTGCCACACACACACACACACACACACACACACACACACTATGGTGCTTGTTCAGAGATTACAACTGCAGAACCATATTGACTTAGAATGGTCATAATGGAATATACACTAAATGCAGAGGTTTCAGAATGACAGGTTCAGGGCATTGTATCTGTTAAATGATGTGCTGATGTCAGGAGGTGTCTGGCTTTAACAGCGGGCTTATGCATGTAGATGTCAGCTAGCCCTCTGCATCTATCAGGTAACCTCTCACTAGCTTCCTGTCGAGCAGAATTGGGCCAGCACTGTTGCAGTACAGCCCATGCTTCTGTTGGCAGTTGATTGGTCAGTACTTCATTTTCCTGTTCGCATGCCCTATCTCGTTATCTCCACGTCATTGCTCTTTTCCAGAACCTCGTAAAGGTGCATACCCATTCCGTCAGGTTTGTGTAGTAAAAATTAGAAGAGTGCAATGCTATAGCCACTGCACCAGACATCTAGAAATTCATCATCTGTAGAAGATGAAGAAGTGTCTGTTATGTAACTGGTCCCTTTCAAAATATAGTAACATTTCATATCCTCTTTTAAGATCAAATAAGTATATCTGGAACTTTTCTGTGTCCAGTTGTTTTTGGCATGTCAGAGAGCCTGCTTGTTTTAGTGCATGTAAACAGGTAGTGTTTTCTCACTTGAGTACTAAGACCCAGTGTCAGAGAGGTTAGTGAGCCTTCACTCACGCAGAATGTGTAAAAGGAAAGTGACCCAGGCCTTTTGGGCATCTCCTTTGTTGCCAGAATCTCTGCTGCACTCAGTAGCCACCTTCTCTCAGGAGACAATAGAACTGAAGTGAGTAGGGCTCACTTCCAGGGAGAAGCTAAAACAGGCAGCTTTGACTTTCTGGGTTGTGTTCTTCTTGCAGATCCAAGAAGATCCTAGTCTGTGTGGAGACAAACCCTCCATCTCGGCTGTGACCATGGAACTGAGCAAGGAAACGCTGGACACCATGTTAGATGGTCTGGGCCGAATCCGGGACCAGCTTTCTGCTGTAGCCAATAAATAGGCCAACGAGCTACAGAGCTGTGCTGGTTCAGTTCTCAGCACAAGGGCTGACAGTGGGCACATGGCAGGATGGTGGGGCTGCTGCTTTTCGGAAGCCCAGTGAAGGGAAGGAAGCAGCCAAGCCCATTGCCATTCTTTCTCTTCCTCATTTTGTTTCTTTTCCTGGTGATGAGCAGAAGCCCCCACCTCTGGGAAGGCCCCATGTGAAGTTGAGTTACTGCCGTGACTATTCGAGGGAACATGTTCTTTATATCAGCCGCCCGAGCGCTGCTGTGGAAAACTCGCGCCCAAACTGTGGAGCTTACCTAATGAGTTGACCTCCAGCATTAGCACAGATAAGTTCATTTCCAGCCCCAGAATCCATGGAGGGAATTAGGGGTGATGCCAGCAGCGCCAGCTCGCCCATCAGAGAAGCCAGCAGACAGAAAACAGTGCAGCACCCCAGCACGATCCCTCAGAGCCTTCCCTGAGCTTGCGGCCCTGCTGGGCTAAAGCTCCAATTCTGAAAACTGAAACATGCTATTTTCTACTACTCCTGGGTGAGAAAGTGGAAACAATTGGAAATAAATAACAGTTTTATGATTCTGGTCATGATTCTTTTTACTTGGCTTGATGTCTTCAGCCCTTGCTACCTCTCATTTGGGTAAATGACCTTAACTTAATTCCAAGTTAAGCTCACAACTGCATGGTATGAGATAATGCAAGGTTAATGAACCTCACCACTCTCCTTCTGGTGTCCATCATGTAACACAAAACAAAACAGAAAGAAACAGTCAGGAGAGGCACTCCTGAGATTTTAGTCATGTGAGAACAGCTCTCTCATGTGCCTCACAGGCCATAGGACCCCCATGTCTGGAGACCTTTTCTCTTCAGTAATCTCCACAGTAGCACATGCAGCCAGATTGTGTGTGTGTGTGTGTGTGTGTGTGTGTGTGTGTGTGTGTTGGGGCTGGTGTCGCAGGGAGGAGGTAGCACCCTTGGTAAAGAACATTGGTTTGGAAGTCCCGCAGCTAGCCTGGGAAGACAACCCTGCTTCTTGATGGTGATGTGCTTGGACCTCTAAGAATCAATTCCCACCCACCCTGCTTTCCTTTTTTAATTAAGTAGACACATAATTAAACATAGTAGACATAATTGTATCTTCCTTATAAGACTGTGAAGATCAAATAGTATAACACACCTGAAAGCACTTAGCACTGGGAAAACTAATCGGTTCAATAACGTTAGTTCTGACTATGAATAGGAGCAGCAGTAGGGAGCTCTGGGCATCCTCTGCCCTGTCTGCCCAATGGGGCTATATGAGGATGAATGCTGTTTTCCTCCATTTATGGATGAGACAACCATGGAGGTTCAGTCACCTGCTGGCAAATGGCCTCATTAGGATATGGGGCCAGATCTCTCTAGCTTTCTTTCTTTCTGAGACACAGGATTCTGCTAGGGACATGAAGTTATTTAACTGGCTTGGTATGGAAAACCTAAATCTGAAGATAGGAACTCTAACTTCTGGCCACCTAGTGAGATCCTGGGAAGTCAAGGCAACCCTCTGGGTTTCTCATACTGAGCGACCTGATCTCAAAAACTATTTTTACTAATTCTTTGAGAATTTTGTAGAATGCATCTTGATCATATTCACCCCCCCTTTCCTACTAACTCCTCCCAGATCCACCTCCACCTCTCCATCACCTCCCAACTCTGTGTCTTTTTTTGTTTTGTTTTGTTCTTTAAAGATAACTTGTTAAGTCCAGTCTGTGCTGTCTATATACTCATGAGTATCAGGCCATCTCCTGGTGGGTGATTGACTTAATGGGGGCCATAATTAAAATGGACTATTCCTCTCCCAGAAGCCATAAATTGTCAGCATCTCTTCAGTTAGGAGTGGGAGACTGTGCTCCCCTCCCCCTCTATCCTGGCATGCTGACTGGCTTGATCTTGTGCAGATCTTGTCCGGGGAACCACAGCTGCTATGCGTGCATCAATACAGGGTTCTGACATGTCCAGAAGACACTTTCAGTCCAGTCCTCTCTGACCTCTAGCTCTCATTTTCTTGCAATTGTCCCTGAGCCTTGGATGGGGGAAGCAGGATACATATGTCCTATTTGTGGCCAAGAACTCCACAAACACTCTCTGTACTTTGGCCACTTGTGAATCTCTGCTCTGCCTGTGCACAAAGGAACTTCTATGATGAGATCAGAGAGCCCTGCTGAGCTATGGGTACAGAGATACAAAGTAAGGGGCAGTAGCATGCTCTTAAAATGGTAGACATGAATTCTTTGGGGTCATACCCATTGGCAGCTTGTGGATCTGTCTGTAGAAAAGGACTGTTTCATATTTTGCTTGCCATGGCCAATCATGGAGCTCAGACCCTAGCCCTGGTTGACAGCTCCTGGTCTGCTCTCATGTGGGATTCAGCGTTGATAGGAATTCACCCCTATTTTCCTTCCAGCTCCTGTGATCTGCTGAGACCTTCTCATCCCTGGCATCACATTTCAGTCTCCCATTACCCGTCGTCATCCACAAAGAACTGTCTATGTGTCTGGGAAGCTGGATGTTCTATTTGAATGCAATAACACTTGTGCTGTGAGGTCATGCTGAGCATACCTGGAAAAGTCAGAAAATGGTTTGTGCCCTTGGATAATCTGCTTTTTTAAGGGACTTAGGGTTTTTTTGGTTTTTGGTTCTTTAGTAAGGATAGGCTGTTTACAGGTACCATATGTCTGGTTGGGTCAACATGATTTCAAAAGAATCACTTCTCCATTGATCTTAAAGGAGGTTCTTTGCTGGGTGATTATATGGTTTCCTGGTACCACTGTACAATGAGCAGCTCTATATAAGCCCCTCCCCTAGGGTGCAGGAAGATCTGATGTGCAGACTGTCCATCAAAGGGCAACCATCAGTCTCTGGGTGTGATGGTGCTCCTGGATGCTCAACACATTCCACCTACACAGCACAAAGGGGAGCAGCCATCTCAGTCCTGATCAGTGTATCTGTCATGAGACTGTACTGTAGATGTGTCTCACTCCGGAAAGCCAGGATCAGCAGAGGAGGCCACCCCTGCCTCTGGGCTCTTGCAGTGCGACCTGCTTTCCTGGCACCTGCTTTCCTAGAGACCATCTGCTCCAGTCCACCCAGACCCCAGAGGATGAGAGGAGAGTGATGGGGAAGTACTTCTGTGTATATTTATCTTATTGATTGTTAAATAAAATACTGTTTGGCCAATGAGCAAGTAGACGGGACTAGGAGTCAAAGAGGATTCTGGGAAATGTAGTAGAGAAGTGTGATCCAGGCAGGAAGTGACATAGCAAGGAGACTCATATTTAAGCGAAGGAGAAACAGGAAGTGCCCCTTTTTTTCCCCTCCTGCTCCAGCGGCAAGATGTGATCCCAGCAAGGAGGGACGCCAATAAGGTGTCCCATAAGATAAGTCTTATAAAAATATAGGTTTATGATAGTTAAGACTGAGTTAGCAGGTGAGAAGTCCTAGTCATTGGCCAAGCAGCTTTGTACCTAATACAAGTTTCTGTGTATTCATTTGGGCCTAACTTGGGCAGGTGGCTGGCGTAAAGCTTAAAGATTTATCATAACAGGGGAAATCAGTGTTGAGCTAACAACACCATTCCTCTTAGTGTGTCCATCCATGCTGGTGGATGAGGCTGTGTTAGAGGGTAAGTGCTTGTGGGGACAAGATATTCCTAGTGAGTTCGCCACCTAGTTTTATGAGTGCTGATTCACTCTCAGGTGATAGTTGAATCAGCCTTGAACTCACTACATGAACTCACTACACATTAGGCTGATGGGTCAGTGAGTTCCAGGGGTCTGTTTCTGTCTTCCCAGCACTGGGATCATAAGCATGTGCCATCATACACAGCATTTTTACATGTGTTCTAGGGATGCAAACACAGGCCCTTGTACTTGAACATCACTATCTGAGCCATCTCACTAATGCCACTGATTGGGTAGGGAAAGAAAACTTGGGATTCTCCACAGATGACTTAAGTTTGCCTTGAGTGTGTTGACTTCCAGCTCTCCTGTGTCAGCCCTGCCTTACCGCCTGTGGATCCTACCATCCTTCTCTTCCCTTTTCTGGTGATGCTCAATCTGAAGACAAGTTGGCATCAGAGTCAGTCACCCTCTGCCTGCACACGGCACCCTGTCCAGGCATCCATAATCAAACTCTCCAGCCCAGTGTTCACAAATTTCCAAGTCTGATGTGGTTTAAAAGCTGAGATGTTACCACAAGTGAAAACTTTTGTTAGTTATCATCCTTTTTAAATTCTAATCTAGAAGCTATCAGCCACCTGGCACTTTGAAAAGTTTTCAAGCCATTAGACACAAGTAGTTTTCTGAGATTGTACCTGCTGACTTCCAAATACTGATAGCTCCTGAACTGTCTTAACTGTACACTGTTGACCTTTGTACAACTTCCTACCTTGCTTGAATTTCTATGGCTTAGTTACCCTCTTTACAGTTTTGAAAAGGAAAACCAGTTTGCTAACAGTAGTCCCTGGTTAGTGCTATAGGACCCTAATCTCCAAGGAGAGATTTTGCTGGCCCTGAATGCCTGGGAAAGGACTTGGTAGGCTTTCAGAGCTCATCTATAAGCGGAGGTAAGGACGCTATTTAGGCAGCATAGGTTTGCGGTATACCTCAAGACTTGCTGGCTGAAGAATGGATCTCTCTTGACCATTGGTGTCAACGTTGCACACACTACACAATGAAGGATGACAGCACCCCACACAGTGATGAATGAACGCAGGCATGGCTCCAGTCCTCAGAGGACATGGTGGGAATTGCAAGGAACGTACAGGGTGGCATCCCTAGGGCTTAGCTTCTGGTTAGGATTTCAGAGGCTGCTTAGCAAAGCTCCAAGGAGTGAGGCTTACTGTATTAGTTTGGTGTTGATTTGGCTGCAGTAACAAAAGCCCATTCTCCATGGATCATGACACTTAGGTGTGGATAATGTAAAAGTCTGAACCGATAGAAGGCCTGCTTTGGCAGGATGGTTCTTTTCCTGATTTCACGGACGTAGGTTCTTTTTGTCTTCTGCTTTACCAGTAACCAAGTGTTGCCCTCACTGCATGGACAAAGTCTGCTCCACACTATGTTCTGAGGCTGTACCCCAAGGCGGAAGAAGAGAGTACACTGGAAGTTGCCACATTCTTTCCACTGTCTACTGTTGTTCAGACTCACACAGCCTGTCTTTGCCTGTGGGGTAGGTAGGGAGAGGACAGTAGAGACAGCTGATAGGCAGTGTCATGTGCACCTACTCAGAGACTTCAGTGCAATGTAGCTTCAAGTATGGGGGACGAGAAGAAAACAAAGCACCATGGGGTTTGGAGGTGGAGATGTGTGTGCTTCTTGGTAAAGGAGGGCATGCCTCATTAAACCTAGCCCTCACAGTACCTACCACAGCACCCACCACCCAACAGATTGACCAATAGTTAACTATTGTAACTCACAAATTCATATAGCACTACCACTAAACTGTGGGGTCACTTTCATAGAAGTCATGGGTGAATCTGAGTAACAGTTTGACAGAAGTGACATTCATTTATATTGTCTCTAAATAAGTTTATGTTGCTTAGGCCCTG